GTATATTACTCTGTACTTAGGTTATGAAGTGTTTTCCTTTACTGCCTTTCAGTGCATAAAGGACAAAGGCAGCAGTGTACCTATTTTACGGGTAGGTAACGTGAGCTGCTAAGGATACAGAGCCTGCCCAGGATCATCTGACTGGTTGCACTGCAGCAGAGTTAAAGTAAAAGCACAGTGCTTGTATTTATCCAGAGAAAAAGCATTTTTAAAAATTTATGTGCGTACGTGGGAATAATTCACTGATCTCATTTAACACTGGAAGTGATGTAAAGTGACACAGCAAACGTTACTGAAAGAAAATGAGCCTAGCTCAGATCACTGTCTCTGGTTCAGAGGACTGGATGGAGCTACTCCCCTGACCAAAGAGGAGCCGTGGGATCAGAGTGGTCTCTGGCCTCCTCTTGCAGCAGCTCTGGAAGTGAACGTGAGCATTGCCTTGTAGTAGACCCAGCTGTAGTTTGCTTTGGCACTGACTCCAAATTCTCGTTAAATAGGGGTCAAGACTTCATAGACTGCCTGTGTAGATTTGATTAGCTCTAAATCTGAGGAATGCTCCTTTGTCACCTCTGTTGTTTCTAATATATATGGACTCTTAACCATTTCTCTTGTATATTTTTGAGCCTTTTTTCACAGGCTGTGATGAGATTAATACATGTGTTAGCTTCATTTTTGCCATAATGAAATTGCTCATTTTATATTACATGCATGCAGCCACATTTTGACAGATTGAAGATTTGTTATTGCCTACCTTACATAGCATTCTGATGCAAGAACCACATGAATCTAATCCCATGTGCATGGAATTAAATGCATCATTTTTTTCTATTCATATTTTTATCTCCCCAGCCCTTGCAAGAAGATGATCAAAGCAGGGCTGTGCATTTCAGATCCAAAGAAGTTAAGACCCTCCTAGAGCCAACTAGCATGGATCCTCTGTAATTTGGTCTTAACTTGGTGCGCTTCATTGTGATGCTAAAAATGTAATAGATGTTCTCCAATCTGAGCAGCCTGGTACTTTCAAGGACTGGTTGTTCATAGCAGGTGCTGCATCTCTGAAGATAGTGCTCCTAGTGGGCTTCTGGTGTGTATATTTGGTTGACTGGATCCAGAAAAGCTCAGTAGCTAAGTTTTTGGATAACTTTTGGGTTCTGCTTCAATTTCAGGTTATGCGTTCTGTCTGTTCCACTCAAATTGGATGAATTCCCTATAGCTACACCTCAGAGGTGGGGAATTTTCATGAAGATCTACCTCATGGCTTTCATTGCACCTTTTAGAAAGACTCAAGCTCCATTCTACTCTGATGATGACTTTAGGGCTTTACAAGTTATAATATTAAATAAAAAAAAGAAAGCGTATTGCTTTTTCTCACAGTGCATCGTGGCATGTGGGGCTGGGTTTTATCGTCTTCAATCTGCAGTAGTGATGAGCCTGCATGTTAAATGAGTATCGTTTAGTTCTGTGTATATTCAGTCTGCTGTACTGAGCCACAGTCCAGAACTCAGTATTTGTAAATTCTGAGATAAATTAACACTTGGTGGAATATAGTTGAGGTCAGCTATGGCTCTCATGCAGTAAGACATCTTTGGCTGCAACAGCAAAGCTGGTGTATCATGATAAGCATTATCCTCTATCCAGATGGAAAAGTTATATGTGCTCCAGTGCTTAAGGATTTGAAGCATTCTGAGGTTTGGGTGATGATGCATCTTCGTGAATGAGCAGCAGAGCACTGGCAGCAGCTCAGAGGTGTGTTTTTACTGGAGTGAGTTAAGTGTGGGAGTTGCCCTGTCATAGCGTGAGGTCCTGGTGCTCAAACAGATGCACAGAGTGAGTTTGGGGCACTCTGTATCTAGTTCTTTGCTTCTTCCAGGTGTATAGCTGCAACAGTCCTCAGAAAATCACTTTTAGGAACTTAATGCTAACAAGATTTCTGTGATGAAAAAAAGAGGGAGATCTTCTGTGATGGTTTTCCACATTTGCATTCTTTCTGCTTCCTTCATGTTTCATTGGTGAAGGCTGGATTTATACTGCAAGTGAGGAAAAAGATCTCAGACTAGAGGCAGGATGTGGTCTGTTGTAAAGTCCACTGTTAATTGCCCGTGGCAAATCAGTCAGCTGCCAAAATGATCTGTGTAAGAAGGCCTGAGATATTGCTTAGATCCGTTCTGATCAACCCTGTGAACTTCTTAAACTTTTCACCTACTTGCAGTGGCAAGTGGGCAGTAGTGGGCAAGGCAGATGGAATGGGACAAATGGAAAATACAGCAAATTTTGGAACTTTTAAAGTTAAGATTTCTAGTGAATTCATCACCATTTCTTTGCGTTGACTGCCTGGTACTTTTACTGCTCTTTCTCTGCATGCTTTTCCTCCTGTCCCTTTCTCCTTAGCGGTAGCAATGGGGCAGATGCTGCCTCCTATGTCTTCATCTTCCCAGACCTTGTACTAACGTAATCTCATCATTCCTTTCTTCCCTAGCAGCATGAACCCAGTCACATTTATCTCACCTCCCCTTCTCCCATTCTGTGTGTTCTTTAGATATGTATATACAGTGATGTGCTATCTTGATATATGGAGAAAAATACAATGTATGCAGTGTATTATATAACATCAGTATTGATCTATATGTATGTGTACATGTAGATTTACGCATTACAATATATACATGTAGGATGTCGTATGTTTCATTGTACACAATTCTTGGTATGGCTATTTTCTGAGATGAAATAACATGTTCCTCGTTTTTAACTGGCCTGTCAAACTCTGTAAGGAAAGCTTTGTAACGATAACAACAAAAAAAAAAAAGCTTCATGAAATTCTATTAGGATCAACTGTGCTTTGAACTGTTAAAAACTGTCATTTCTGTTGAATGTTTTCCTCGGGAGATATTTTGAATCTGTTAAAATAGTATCTAGTCAGAAAAAGTAGCAAGAATAGCATCTGCTATACTTGGAGGGTTTGAGAACGTGGATCTGAGTTCAGGCTCCGCAGGTCACTGCCTTTCTCTACTGATGCAGGCTGCAATGTGAAAAGTTCTTAATACAGACTGAACTAGAGAAGAGGAGAAGCAAATGGTTGTGTTAATAGTTTGCTGTTTTCCTTTAGCGGGACCAGCCCTGGAAAAATAAGCACCTAAATCTCCCCTTTCCCCCAGAATAGATGACTTTGTAATTAATATATTCTTTTTTTTCTTAGCTAGGAAATACCAGTGCATTTCTTATGCACATAACTCAGTTCTTGTCATCTCTGCAAATACTTTATGATGCAGACTTTGGATTTAAATGTCCTTAGCAACAAATTATTTTTTCCCTAAAACACAGTTATTTCTTTTTGGGCACATATGACACAAGGCTTAGAATTGCTGTATCTGTGCTACTGATGTGTGCCCAGTACGTAGAGAAGACTGAAAATTGCAGCAGGGAAGGAGGGAACTGCTTGTTTTCTGTGCCCACGTTGGATAAGACAAAAAGTGCTGGTCTTAAAATTGCAGCAAGAAAGGTTCAAATGAGACTTCTTACAAAATTTCCAAAGGCAAAGACAGGAAAATATTGGAATAGATTGTGTGAGCAGACTGTACATTGTTGGAATTATGTGACATGTTAGATAAACATGTGAGGAGGGACCAAGAACTAATTCATGTCTGGAGTGTTGCACCTTCCAGTGCTACCGATAAAAATAGGAAAATGATTTCAATAAAGATGCATCTTTCTTATGTGCTGTAATAGAAAGGGAAAAATGAATCAGTAAAGGAGAAGGACTGTTTTATGCCTCCAAATTTTACCCTGGTATTGATTTTTTGAACAAGCTTTACTCTGAGTTTCTAGCCGCAGATATAGCCTGGCCACCAATAGCATGGCCCACAACGTAGCTGATGAAGGAAGCTAAGTCCAGTCCAAGCTAGCAGTCTTCCATGTGATTCTGCCTTCTTTTGGGGATGCTCTGAAACAAACACAATGTATATGTGTAAGTTGAAGTGAGAGTTTGCTGGTAGACTGACCATGGAGACAATAGAATGTTCATTTATATTTTAATCTTTTATATTCACACACTTAACTGAAAAACCACAACGAGCAGACCAAAAAGTTGAGCAGAAAGAGTTGAAGGAATGTAGTTATCTTTTAACAGAAAATTGTACAGTAGGCAGAAGTGAGGATGAAAGAAATGAAAACAATTTTTTTTTTTTTGTATGTGAAGACTGAAAATCCAGAAAGCAAATAGAAAGAATGGCAAATCATAGAATTATAGAATGGCTTGGGTTGGAAGAGACCTCAAAGAGCATCCAATTCCAACCCACTGCAATGAGTAGGCTTGCAAAAGTTAGTTAAAGTATTTTTAGGCTTTTTCTCATTATAGTTTAAGGAATGTGTCCTATTGTATTTCAATTCCTTGAAAACTGAGCATTTTTGAGCTATTATAAAACTGATTGTGCTTAAAATTTATTTTGGATTAGAGAAATGTTGATTTTAAGTCAAAAAATGCAGTACTGGCAAAGTGTATCATATATTTTAGTAAGCTGCACAGTGGGGGAAAGGTTGGTTTTGGCGAGGGCTATGTATGTCTTATATCTTCTGGGATATAAAGCAAGGCATACTAAAATTGTCACTGGGAGAAGAGATGCCAAAGGTATTTCTGACAGGAGGCTGAGCCCCTGCTAGCAGGTTCATGGGTTAGTTAGGAGGTCAGGTTGTAGGCTGTTCAGCACAGGCCTCAGGAGGACTTTTTTCCTCTCTCCTCCCGTCACGCACACAGCTGCTCAGTTAGACAGCATGGTAAGTGCATGCCTACCTCCCTGCTACAGCCTGTGAAGTGGTGGCTATCCATTGTGGGCAGGATGAATCCCAGCCAAAGGCTTTTGGGGAGCAGCAGCAGCTTCTTTGTGTATTAACTTCGAGGGTTGACTGACTGAACCTGGGAGCTGGGGATGTGCTTGTTCTCCTGCTGGAAGAGTCTGTTAGGTGACGGGACCTCTCAGCTCGCTTCTCTGATGGATTCTCTCTCACAGGCAGGAATGGCAAGCCCCGAAAACCCCGAGCAGCTGATCATCGCCCTGGAACCCGAGGCAGCTTCTATCTACTGCCGGAAGCTCCGCCTTCACCAGATGATAGAGCTGAGCAGCAGAGCACCTGTCAATGGCTATAGCCCCAGTGACACCATCGGAACTGGATTTACACAAGGTGCTTATCATAGAATCATTAAAGTTGGAAAAGACCATTAAGATCATCTAGTGCAACCATCAACCCATCCCCACCTTGCCCACTAAACCCTGTTCCTCTGTGCCATGTTTCCAAGTTTCTTGAAAACCTCCAGGGATGGTGACTCCACCACCTCCCTGAGCATCCTGTCCCATAGCGTTTTCACTGCAGTATTTTTCTGCCTTTATTGAAATTAATACTTTATGCTGGATCATTTTATATTTAATCTGTTGAAAGCAATTAAGTGTTCAATTAGCTGCATTATTATTGGATCTCAATGAGACTTTCAGTCTGAAGTATTCTTCCAGAGTTTCAGCAGATGCTTTTTGAAGTCATCTTTGTGAAATACCATTATTTACTTTGAACACTTGGAAGAGCACATGGTAATGGAATACAGCAATGCATTTGTCTTCTCACAGAAGAGAAATTAGATACAGCAATTCTAACTTACTGACCTGTGATCTGCTGCTCATGTTGGTGCTTTAAGACTGACTTGCAGAGATGGGCCCACAGTGTAAGTCACTTGCCAAAAAATCCTTCGTCACCAAAGACTTAGGCAAGATTTAGTATCTTGTCTTAGACTGGAGGGCAAAAAAAAGAAAATAGTGGACTGCTGTGGTGTATTTGTTACATAACGATTTCCTCTCCGTGTGAATTGCAGTAGTTGCACTGATGTAAGTGTTACTGTATCAGTTTATCCCAGAGGAATTTTTCAAAAGAATTTGCATTTCGTCATCATATTTACTAGGTCAAAATGGTACAGGCACATGGAAAATTCAGCCTGTAAAGCTATTCCTGTACTTACCAGATTGCATTTTTTCTTAGTTGGAGTCATAAGTCATTTCCTTATTTTCTCCTAGCCACATCACTCCCAGCTAGCACTTGTCAGATGTGCTCAGCTTTAGGGAGGTCTGTGCAGGGCATAGTCCTTTCAAGGGCCCCTCACATTCTCCACCTTGGTCTCATCCTGCGCTGTTCCACTTCCATGCACTTTTCCATGAACTTGCTTTCGGGCTGCAGGGGGGGGGATTTGCTTCTAAGAAAATAAGTAATAATAATTAAAAAAAAAAAAAAAAAAAAAGTTCTGTGTTTGGCAAAGTTTTAAAGCTGGGCAGAATCTGGCAGATGTTGGATTTCTGCAAGTGGAAACCATTCTCTTTCTTAATTGTGTAAGGTAAAGGACATTGGGGATGAGAAAGGTTTATTGTCAAAATTAATGAAAATAAAGTTTGAGGGAATTAATTTGGGGTTAAAATTAAAGTTTCATAAAGGCATGGCAGGTACCCAAGACCAGCTGAGAACAGATTAAGGAGGAAAACCATTTAGCTATGAACAGATGCACTCCATGGGCTGTCTTATTGCAGTGAAGTCAGAACAAAAAAAGTTACTGTTTGTTGTAGAGCCAGGTAAAGACTGGCTCTTCCATTTACTTTTAGTCCACAGAAACAAAGTGAAAGGACTCCCATTGACTTCTGTGGACTCTAGGTCCATTGCTTGGACCTCTTGCTTGTTCTGTCTTTGAATGCTGTGTGATTTGAGCTGTTGGTGTATGAGGCTGACAACTTGTCTGCATCATAGGGTCTTTATGGAGCAGGTATGGCTGAAAGCAAAGCCTCTCATCTCCTGATCATAGACACTATAGAAATGAGAAGGAAAATGCATTCAACAATTTTCCTACTTCGCATATTGCAGGATGTCTATCTTCTGTACTATTTTATATAGCACCTTTGAATGAAAATGAATGAAAGTAATACAGGAAATGACTTTTGATCATCCAGTTGTACAGACTGATTTAGAAGCTTAATAGCAAAGGCTCTCACTGCTCTACTTTCTCTTTACAGACTGTTTTTCATCTTTTGAATGTCTAAGTAGAAATTAAGTCTTGTAAGCTGAAGTATTGGTGTGAGATTGTGCTTAATTTTTAATTGCTGTAAATTTAAAATATGCTGTGCCAGTGTCCTCCATGTTTCTAATAGGTCAAGTCTTAGTCAAGACATAATTTAATTGCTTATCGTGGCAGCACTAGATTCTGCTTTACAGGCTGTCATAACAAACCAGGATTTTCAGAAGTAAAGGCTGAAATAGTTGCTAATCTCTTCAGTCATCTGTCTGAGTTATCAGAGGGTCAGATTTAGTGATCAGTTTGAGACTTGAGAAGTTACAAAGCTGTGAAGCAGTGCTTTTGGCTGCTTACATTGAGGCAGTATGACATCCTGAACGTCTCCATAGGCCTTGCCCCAGCACACGGCCCCAGAAGTTGCTTTTGAAAATCTTGTGTTCTCTGCCTGCCATCACAGCTCAGGTCTGCGGTGGACCAGGGCTGCCACCGTGTGGCAGAGTGTCTGCCTGAACGCGGCTGGCAGCTGGGACAGCTTCCAGCTTGTACTTGGAAGTCAGAATACAGTAACTGTGAAGGATTTGCCCATAGCTTTCACACTAAGTCGTTGTTTCTAATTCCAGTAGTATGAACAAAGAACAGAAAATCTGAAAAATGTGTTTTTTTTGCTCTTTCTAGAAGTAATGTTATAATGTTCCCCAAACCAGTGCAGTGGTTGTTCATTTGTTTTAAGAAGCAGTAAACGAGATCTGTCAGCATACTTGCACCTGTTTTCTGCACCACGTGTTATCAAATTCTTTATGCTTCGTAATGCTCAGTAATTTTCTCTGTCTCTGACTAGCTAAGGAACACGTCCGTCGCAATCGACAGAGTCGCACCTTTTTGGTGGAAAATGTTATAGGAGAAATCTGGTCCGAACTGGAAGAAGGTAGTGTCCTTTCTTGAATAAACTGGTTTTATAGTGCTGACGAACATATTGTTTCTCACAAATCTGCACTGTTCTCAGAATGATTATGAGTTGGAAAACAAAGAAATAAAAGTGCATATGCAGCTCTGAGTTGCTAAAGCTAAACTGCAGTTCTGTATAGCAATGTATGGTTTATTAAGGAGATGACAGAGTATAAGCCAAGTTTCAAAGTACAGCTAGACTATTTCTTCAGAATAGGCTTTGTGAATATACTGCAGTATTAATTTGGTAACCCCCTAAAGTGGACACCGCTAGCACGAGCAATTCCATTAATCCCTTTTCTTTCTGTGTTAAACCAATCTTTTTTGATACCTAAATTTTGTATTTACTGTAAATCACTATTAATAAAGATGAAGTTTTCAGAATAGAGATTTATAACTGTGTGGAAGTCGTTTTCTCTCATTGCAATATGTCACTGTGATAATATACATCACGTTTGCCTATTCCTTTGGCAAACCAGGTGACCGTTACATCGTTGTTGACAGTGGAGGAGGCACAGTGGATATGACTGTCCATCAGATCAGGCTCCCTGAAGGACATCTTAAGGAACTGTACAAAGCAACAGGTAGATGGCACTTCCAGTGCTTGCATTTATGCAGTACTCTGTCTGTGGAGAAAATACATGTCTTTACTGATCACTGTGTTTCACTAACAATTCTTCCTCGAATCAGAGCAGTATTCCAAATAATGTAGTCTATCTGCTGTCTGGACAAGGGTCACTGTCCTGGTCTGCCTTCTTTTAGTAAATTTGTGATCTTCCACTCCTTTAAGAGGTCTCTGACCAGCTATTCTGAGAAGTGCTGTGGAGGTACGAAAAGCCAAGTGTGTCACATCGAGATCCTTGTAAAATTTCCCTAGATCTTAGGGAAGGCTTGTATGTTCCAGTAATTCCGCAGCCAGTGTAACAGAGGTGGTCTGCCATCCTCTGACAGCAGCTCACAATGATAGATCCACAACAATAAGTGCAATAAAATGCAATTGCTTTAATGACACTCCCTTCCTGAACTCCATAATCCCCTCTTTGTCTTTGCTAAGCTGTTAACCCCGTAAGACAGCCTGTGCACTTACTTGAGTTGGTCTTCATCTGTATCGTTCACTGCTGAGTGTCTTCAGTCTTGATGGCTTTAAGACAACTTTCTGCTGTAGTTTTACAGAGTCTAGGACAATGTAGGTGTAAAAGTGAGGCAAAGGTAAGATCACATTCTGTATTAGACAGACTGTTTCCAGCGACAGTCCTTGTAGTGTCAATCTGATGTGTATTTGGTCTACTTGAAATCTAATGCGATTTTCAGAATATTAAAGTTGTGTTTTATTTTTAATACAGGTGGGCCATATGGTTCCCTAGGTGTGGACTATGAATTTGAAAAGCTCCTGTGTAAAATATTTGGAGAAGATTTTATTGAGCAATTTAAAATCAAGCGTCCTGCTGCCTGGGTAGATCTGATGATAGCATTTGAGTCCCGTAAACGGGCAGCAGCTCCAGACAGGACCAATCCACTAAACATCACTCTGCCTTTCTCCTTCATCGATTACTATAAGAAGTTTCGAGGTCACAGTGTAGAACATGCCTTGAGGAAAAGCAAGTGAGTAGATGATTGAACCCACATAGATACAGAATTGCCTAGTCTTTAAAAAGACAGGCAATTAAAATATCCTAATTACATGTAGTCTGAACGACAGTAATGCAAAAGAAGTGTCTGTTTTTCAGAATGCAGTGTTTCTCCAGGTATACTGAAACTAACAGAATAATGAGATAGGAAGTGTAAAGATAACATAGGATGTGCATGAATGAGAAGGAAATTCCTAAGCTATATGGATGTGCATAATGAAATCATATAATGCCTCTATTCAGTTAACAAATATTACAGCTCATTAAAAGTACTGTTCTTTTCTCTTTCTCCTGAGACTTCCCATGCTTGCTTGCTTGCTTGTTTTCAGTGGCTTTGGCCTGCTGCTGCTATAATCTAAATGCTGCCCTTCTGGGGTTGAATCAGTGCTGTTTCAGATGAGTGAACAGTGCACTGACTGCCAGCTGTTTCAGAGGGCAGATAAACATTGGTAATGCTGCAGGAGGCAATCAGGCAAAGAACACAGCAATTAAACAAGCAAAAATAGCAATTGTCCCTGGAAATTTTATATTGTTCCATTTGGTGTGGGGCTGAAGTTAGATGAAGTACTTTTTTCCAAGCAAACTGCATACAGATTCTATAAACTCATTATTTGTGTGTCATGTCTTATGAGTGCTTGACTGTACTCTGTACTCTCTTAATATCCTTTCTAAATGCTTTTATTTTTATTTTTCAGCGTGGACTTTGTGAAGTGGTCTTCCCAAGGAATGTTGAGGATGAGCCCAGATGCAATGAATGCACTCTTCAAACCTACAATTGACCAGATTGTTCAACACCTGAGTGAGTATCTGTGTGTAATTCCATTTTCTGACTAAGCTGAGACTGAAGACTGCTATTATGCCCTAAATGTGGGCAAGGAGTTTAGTTCTGAAACATTTGTCCTTTAAAAAGTGATTAGGAAGGTAATTTCAAGTAAGGGACATCGCCTTTAATGCATCTAACTACCTATTTCTAGAGCTAGTTTTTCAGTGTGATTCAGTCCTGTTGCTGCCTAAACTGTGTTTCCAGGGCTACAATCATTCCCTAAAGAGCACTGCTTTAGCCCAGATCCTACTTTTCTTTTTCTTATTTCAGACAAGAACAAAATAATGCCAGAATCATAACTAGTATCTGATTGTTGCTGAAATTAAGACCTGTATTTCATTTCTCATCAGTGGGAGGACTTAAAAAGTCCTATTTTTTGATGACTCTCTGAATCACTGAGATGTCAGGAACGCAATAAATAAATGATGGTTCCTGTTAAAAAATAAAATAAAATAAATTCCAGCCATAGGAATCTTAAGCAGTAATAGATTTATTTATCTGGCAATGAAAAGTGACACAGGTTTATTGGGAAATCTGTTATTTAAACTCTCTTTCATGAAAGATTGGATTTGTGTTGAGTATAATACATATGCTGAGTGAAGTATTGCTGTTCTACTCATTACAAAGTGCTAATCAAATTGTATTTGGAATAGAATATCCAGCTTAGCACACTTGCTGTGTGAGGACTTGTTAAGTGGAATTGAGAGACCACAACTTAGTGGGACAACTAGGACAGAATAGCTTCCGTGTGAGCAGGGAGGGAGAGGCCTCACATTAATTGTGACAGATACCTTAGTTGTGCTGCATCAGTTATTTGAACTGACTGTGGATGAGCCTACAACAGAACTGTCTGATTTTCCTCAACGTAGGAGATTTCTTGCAAAAAATCTGTCTCCCTTCGCTGGTACAACCCAAATAAAAATTCTGTTTAGAAACCATAAATGCTACCTCAGAAATGTCATCTGCTTTGAAGCAAGTTTTCATTCACAGTCATTGCTCCATTGAAACAGAACGTAGTAAGAAACCTCAGAAGTGGAACTGATGCATGTTGAGAGCAGCAGTGGGGGCGCAGATGTGAGTGTTTCAGATTTTATGCATGCGCATGGAACATGGATGCGTCAGGCATTTGGAGTTTCAAATGAATTGCTTTGCCACTGAATTTTTCCCTATTGAATGGGCTCTGTTTCTGTATAGGTGATGTGTTCGATAAGCCAGAAGTGACCAATGTCAAGTTTCTGTTCCTGGTGGGTGGCTTCGCTGAATCCCCTCTACTCCAGCAAGCTGTCCAGAGCGCTTTTGGTTCGAGATGTCGAGTCATCATTCCTCAGGATGTGGGGCTCACTATCCTCAAAGGAGCTGTTCTCTTTGGTCTAGACCCTGCTGTCATCAAAGTACGGCGTTCGCCTCTCACCTATGGTGTGGGTGTGCTGAATCGGTTTGTGGAAGGGAAGCATCCACCGGAGAAGCTGCTAATCAAAGATGGCACGCGTTGGTGCACTGATGTCTTTGACAAATTTATCTCTGCCGACCAATCTGTCGCCCTTGGAGAAACTGTGACACGCAGTTACACACCTGCCAAACCTTCTCAGTTAGTAATAGTGATCAATATCTATAGCTCAGAACAAGATAATGTCAGCTTCATCACTGAATCTGGAGTGAAAAAGTGTGGCACCCTTCGCCTGGATCTCACAGGAACTGATGCTTCCGTGCCAAACAGACGGGAGATCAAAACACTTATGCAGTTTGGGGACACTGAGATCAAAGCCATGGCCATTGATGTTGCCACCTCTAAAAGTGTCAAAGTTGGTATTGATTTCTTAAACTACTAACAGATCATTTGCCCCACCGTGGCCTGTTTGTGAGACTCATCGTCCAGTATTTCATTTTTTGACTTTCATGTGTCACGTAATCATCTTGAATTTCAGCAGGCTATATGAGAACAGCTAATAAGGTGGGGTATGTCATGCTTGTGCCCTTGAAGGACCAAAAGCTGGATTTTAAAAGACCCTTAAAAAGCTTGAGGAGGAAAAGTTCCAGAAGTAGTAAAAGTTATTTAGTTGTTCAAGCATGTGTAAAGATCTGCCTTTACTAAGTATTATTATTGCATCCTGAAGATTGGTTAAGAAATATAAAATCATAATCTCTTTGCCTTGCTCTTGTTCTTCTTCCTCTTCCTCCCAAGAAACATTTGCTAGTCCAGGTGGTTGGTGTAGGGGGGTGTCTGTATGGCTTGTCTTTCTGAAACAGCACCATCCTCTGAGCATGGAAACAAGTTACAGCTTTCTTTTGGTTTTTGGCCTGCACTTTCAAAAATGTAAGTGCTGAAAATCAGGAACGAGAAGAAGTAGGAAGTGAGTGGCTTCACTTCTGAGATCACACTGAAAAGAAAATCCTTAGAAATCCTTAAAAGTAGATTTAGGAAACATACATATTTTAGTAGCCTAATGTCGGTTGCCCAAGCTTGAGAAGAAGGCCTTTCTTGTCAAGCTCTTTGAACTAGCTATTGGATTAAGTAGCTAACATTGCCCTCGTACTTCAGAAATTTAATAAGAGCAAAGTTATTTCCCTTTTTAGGTCTTAGAAACTTATATTTATTAGTTTCCTTCCAGAATCACTGAACAGATGAAGTTGGAAGGGATCTCTGAAAATTAACTGGTCCAACCCCTAAGCCCTAATAAGCTCTAAGCTAGAACAGGATGCTCTGTCCTTTCAGACTGTGAATATCTTCAAAGCTGGAGATGCCTAAACTTGTTGGGGCAATCTATTCCAGCCTTTGACAATGCTCACTGTAAAAAGCAAAAAACAAAAAACAAAAACAAACAAACGAAAAACAGCAACAAAGAACCACATGTTTTTAAAAGCATTTTCTTGTATTTTAATTTGTGCCCATTGCCTCTTATCCCTTCGCTGAAAACTGCTGAGAAGTCTTGCTCCATTTTCTTTACTGTCTTCTGTCAGGCATTTATACGCATTCCTGATTGCTCCACAAGCATGCTCTTCTAGAGTCTGAAGTCCTAGATCTCTCAGCCTCTCCTCTTACAACTGATGCTCTGATCCCTTCATCTGATGCCTTGACAGACTCAACCCCCAAGTCCTTGTTGCTTGTACTGAGAAGCACAGAACTGGATGCCAAATGTGGTCTCACCAGGTCTTAATAGCGAAGAATATTCACCTTCCTTATCCTGCTGGCAGTCCTTGTGCAGTCCAGCTGTTGGCGTTCTTTCTCTCAAGGGTACATTGCTGGCTCATGAAGACTTTGTGTCCACCAAGACCCTGAGGTCTTTTTCTGCGTAGACGCTTCCCAGCCAGTTGACCCCCATCATATACTGGTGTATGGAGTTACTCCTCCAAAGCTTTAAGACTTTGCACTTCACTCATAGTCATATTTTTTTTCTCGTTAATTCCCATATTTGGAAGTACGGTTACATGATGGCTGTCCAGGAGGATAAACTGATAACTTCAGTTTTAAATCCACTCCCAGCTGGCAGACTGATGCTAACCTGAATAACCATCAAATGCTGATGCTTTCAGAGCATTTATATAGAGCTGTCTGATTACCTGCTGGAATTCATTATATTTTTGGAACTTGCAATTTTAATTCTTAAACTAAACCTTCCTTTCTAATAAATTGAGCATGAGTTCTATCAGTTACTGACACTTTTGGGAAATGAAAGCTTTATCAATGTTTTCACTGATTTACATTCCAATCCTGCACTTAAGCTTTCCGTGTTTATCCTGGAGATCTGCCACTGTCAAGAGCTGCAGAACTGGTCTGCTGCATTTGCCATTGAGTTTTCTGTGTCTGTTGCAGAATTCCCTAGTAGAATATGAAATCTGTTCTGCATTCAGCTTTAAAAAAAAAAAATAAAGAAAGAAAGAAAAGAAAAAAAAAAGAAAAAAAAAAATAAGAAAAAAAAATAAAAGGACTATGGAGAATGGAGTCACAGTATCTGGCTGGATACTTTCCTATAATTACAAAGTGTGCTTTCTAGCATTCAATTTCCTGCTGCCTGCTAAATGCTTTAAAAGCTAAATACTGGGATTTTTTGTGTATTGCTTTCCATGGTTTACAAACAGGAGAAACTTTAAGATGAGTTATGAACAATATAATTTTATGTATATACAATATTTAAATATTGTACAGACTCTTTCTTTCTACAGTGCTATTTTCTTGTATAAAAATGCTCTTTGCCGCTGTTGATTTCATTCAGCTGTTAATTTTAAATAACATAGTTTCTCAATCAGCTTCCATAATTATAGGCTTTTAAAGATGGTAAGATATGAAATGTAAAAGGCTGATCTTATAATAATAGGAAAGAAATGTTGATGTGTCAGAAAATACAACATTCTTCCTGCAATGCAAGTCACACCAGTTAAGCATATTACACAGATGCACTTGTATTTTGCTGGGATTTCATTTCTTTGTTTCAGATGGTGACCATTCCAGCAGTTCGTCATAATAATGGATGAATCCTCCTGTAAAACAAAGTTATATTTAGCTTGTATGATCTGAATATACAGCTTCTTCTCTAGGTTTTGGAGTTTTACTAAGGATCTTTTCTAGTTACAAAAAAAGAATATATATATATATAGTTCTCTATATATATAGTATCTCTCTCTCTCTCTCTCTCTCTCTCTCTCTCTCTCTCTATATATATATCTCTATATATATATCTCTCTCTCTATATATAGAGAACTATATATATATATACACTTTCCAGAGCCAGGTAACACTGCTTTACAGTAGTTGCAAGTCTCTGTCTGTCACTACTTCCTACCAAACACTAAATTCTTAAAGAAAAGAAGGCTTCACTGTTTTTGCATCCTATGTTAAAACTGAATGGTTTCAATTAAACAAGATTTGTTTCCAATGGCCTTAGGTTAATGCAGAATTTGATATAGTTAAGATCTGCAATCCCCCACCAAGAAGAGGAGGTGAACTGTAGGATCTTGCAGCCCTTGGGTTTTGTGCTGTTTTCAGCCCGTCTGCTGGGAATGCTAGCAGTAGTTTCTGCAGCTCTTTTGAAGTGTAGTTCCCCGCATGGTAGAGATTCTTTGCCCTTTTTTATTCGCCTTTTGTAAGATTCTGACATGATCCAAGCAGGCATTTGTTGCTAAAGTGATTCTACTGTAACTGTAAAATGTGAAGAGTTTGCATTTTTTGCACTTCCTTTTTCAGTCTCGTGAGAGCACTATCTAGCTCTTCTATGCAGAACACTGAACTACTGAGCAAACTTCCAATTGTCCTCGTTGTCTTCTTTAAATCTAAGAGTGGAAAATTAGCCTGTCCCTCTAAGGAATTAGAATTGTAAGTAGAATGTTATGCTATGATCTGTAGTTTATAACCCATTTGAACAACTTTACATTGTAAGTGAGAAATGGATGCCCATTTTGATAGAGGATGTTAGGCTGTAAAATTAATATGAAATTTATTAGGAAATTATGAGTCATTTTTAGAATAGTAGTTCTGATACTTATGCAGGAAGTTTCCTGTATTTTTGGTAGGGATTTCGGATGACATTGTGCAACTTAATGTTGAAAAGACAAGGCCTGCCATCCTTAGGCAAAGCCAAAAGCTCTGACTGAAGTTTTGCTCTAAGCATGGACTTGCAAGTTTGAGTCAAACTTAATTAAATCTAGGCTGAAAGTTAGCAACGAATTGTGATAGAATGATTACTTGTATTAGAATATGATACATGTGCAGTAATGGTTAGGATGGTTAATATTGCTATATTCATACCAGTGAATATATACAGGAGTTTTAATGCATTATTATGAGAAGGCTAATTATGTATTGCAGAGAATTAATCGCTGAGATAAGCTGCATATTTATCATACGAAATGGCTTAAGCGGATGAATAGTATAAAAGTTGTTGGGCATAACGTCACAATACACACCTGCTCGAAATAGTCTTAAACTATATTATAAAACCAACCATTGTGGTCTTGTTCACCCCTGTGCAAGATAAATTCAGATTTCACAGATGTTTGGAGCTGTTCACAACTTCTCTGGATTGTATCTTGAGTGTTCTTGTGTCCTCAACCATGTCAAATAAAATGCAGTAAAACTAATTTTTCTTTTTGGGTGTTTCTACTTTGATGAAAGTGGCTGTGAAGGGTCAAGTGGTTATACTTGCAGTCAGATACACCTTCATATGCATGAGTGTTGGATATCAGATTTCTTCTTCCTTCTGGATGTGTGGACACCTGGAGTCCGTGTTGACCTGAGGTCACTTTCTACTGTTGTTGATTACCGAAATCCTACTGCAGTTTGTGTAGCTCTGAATAGGATGACTGTTGGTGTTAAGATAGAAAGACTTTGGACAGTATCAGAAACAGTTTAGGTCTTTCCTGTAATGATGCTCTGAATCAGAATGAAAGCTGGGAAATCAATATGCTTGAGGCTGAATTCCTGATTCGTGGCATTTCTTTCGTGACATTCTCAACAAAATTCACAAAGGTCATTGATGATAAGTAGAAAAAGTAATAGTGTAGAAAATGTAAAAGAACCAGTCCGTGTGTGTGGAGGTTCCCTTCTTACAGCCCATGGAAACAAACAGGCAGGATGTTGAGGATGAAAATCTGGATGGTATTCAGATCCAGGGAAAATGCAACATTTCTAGAAGCAAAACTGAATGGTTTATGTTTTTATTACAGGAAAGACTTAATGTGTTTTCACAGAGTACTGCTTTTGGAAGGATGGGAGATTCCTCTGAAATGGTAAGCCACTAGTATTAGAGGATATCAGCACGTGGGTTTCTTTCACAAACTTCTAGGTTGCTACCAACACTGGTGTATAACTGCAACTCCCAGGTATTTGCACCTGGACCTGAGGAGGCAGATGCATCCAACATTCCTCTGGGAAGGCCACTGCTGAGGAGATGTCCATGGTGCTCCAGCTCAGCCATGGCCCTCAGCCATAGCCATACCTGAGCCCGCACTGTTAACTGCAGGTACTGGCCTGATGTTCTCAGCCCCCTGCAGGAAGCCATCTGCTCTTTTGGCTATGAGAGTTCAGTTCCCTCTTGTCACTTTCGTGTTAAAGATGGTTTTGAAATAGTGACTTAACATCTTCCTACAAAGTAAATCCGTTTCAACTCTCTGTCTTCTTTATTCCACTTGTTACCTGAAGGCCTCACAAGTGTCACCTGGGTGTGGTTGTGGTTTTAGTTCCCATTGTCCTCCAATGTCATATTTAGCTATTTCTCTCTTTTCAACCAGTAGAAGCACGTGACTGCAAGCTATTTTTGTTTCTCTGTATAGATTACTGTTCTCTTCCTTTTGTGATTTAGTTTTTCCTTTCAAATGCAACATCTCAGCTGAAAGGATTTTTGTGCCACATTGAAGCATATTATTGTTCTGGTTCCAGGACGTTTATAGTCTGGAATATGTTCAAGGTAGATGTTTGCCAGACACCCAGCATTTCGTTAAGAAAACTGATTCAGGTACAGTGGGTATCATTTAAGTTTTCATGTAAACATTGATTTCTGCAGGAGTGTTTGCTTGGAATGAATAATAAAAATGCTACAAGGTTAGAGACCACTAAATACATAATGATAAATTTTACTCTGTTACTGTGTTAATTAAAGCAATTACAATTCATGAGTGACTTACACTAATAAAATCAGCTGCTATTCATGTCAGTAGCATGGGTACAAACCCTATTAGAGAAAACCATTTCCCTCAAAGTGTCCTAAAAATTGCCATATCAGAAAGTACTGTAGTCTCATAGCCTTCTGAAGGGCTGTTTTTTTGCTAATATTGTAGTATCAGCCAATAAATTGGCCAATAACCAGGTAAATATTTATATACCTGGTTATTATAT